TGAAATGAAAACACTCAAGGATATGTTCAGAGAAGAAACTGAAAAGCTTAGAAAGGTATCTATCTGCTCGTTTGCATGTCATATTCAATAGTATATTTGTGTGTATATTCAGCTTGTTATGATTTTTGTTAGTATCGTTTGTAAATTATTCTCTGATTTGTTTATATCATTGTTTTGATTATTCATAATTCAATAATTGATTTATTACAATGCAATGCAATTCATTTATTTATAATGTAATTCTTGACAGCATTTCCGATCCTTAGTTTCAATGGAAGAGTACGAGTTATCTCAGTGAAATTGTGTTTACAGGCTGAGAAGCGTAACGAAGAGTTGCAGTGTACAGTAGATGAGCTACGCTCCTCATTGGACGATACTAACGAGCAGCTGAATGTTATCAAAGAGGTAGGCTATTCAATTACCGTACACTTATGACATACCGTATAGCGTTGAACTCGCGATAGTATTTTGTAATATGTTGCGAGGATTGGAGAACTTCAGGTATGCCGTCCCTGACTTTTTTCGAGCTGGCTGAAGTTTCAGGGTCTTCGACTGCAAATTTCGTCCCCGACTTTTTTTCCATTCCCGCAACACACTATTATTCAGTGCAGTCTGCTCATATCAAGTGTGACTTGTCTCATAATTTGTTTCATAATTTTGAAAAATAAAGAACTTACAATGGTTGATTGAGGAAATCCAAGGAATATGTTAGCAGTCTGACGGAAATGAACTAAGAAATTTAGTTGAAAGGGGCGAAATTGTTTATTTCAGAAGAGGAACGCCGAAAATGTGTTCTCGTTGGAGATCGCTGATTATGAGAAATCGCTCGAGAAGGTACAAAAAGAGTTGAAAATGACCAAAGATGACTGCGCATCACTAAACGCCGAACTGGAATTGGCACGATCGGAAGCGAACACGATTCGAGACGAGAAGCAAGCGATTAGCCAGAAATTCACTAAAATGAAATCGGCTGTTGTGAAGCTGAAAGCTGAATTAGATGGTGAGTGAGAGGACTGGTGTAATCCGGATTTCGGATTTTGTTCTATTCCAACAGAATTGAACTGAAATCTCTGGTGTATTTATATTCAAAATGTTATAGTTATGCATATATAGATAGTTCCGATGTTGATTTGCCATTCTGTTCGATTGAGATTGCTCGAACAAATTCTGTGGCCAAAATTTCTGTTGGATATGCTTCAAAATTGATCATTTTCATTTCTCGTTAATATTGATCCGAACGTCAATATAATATGCGCCTCAGTTTTCCTTTGCTCCTTTGAATTCCTTGATTATACATTCTCATCTGCTTTTACTCACTCAACCATTACACTGAATTTCTCGAAAACTATTTTTTCACATATTTATGATCTGCATAACTTCTTTAAGTACAAATATGCCGGATTTTAGGAGGATTGTTTATGTGATATGAAGTATTATATTCTCAAAGCACCCACTTATCGTGCAGTTTTGATTGTTGGCTTTCAGAGAAGAAAGATATTATTAATGGCTTGGAAACGGACAAGCGATCGATGGAAGAAACTATCAAAAAGTTGACCGACAACCGAACTGATGAGAAAATGGAATTCAGCGCTGCGATTGCGGCAGCCGATGAGAAAACTCGACAACTGGAAGCCACTTGCGTATCACTGAATAAACAGCTCGTCTCGTTGAGATCACAGCGAGAATCTTTACAAAGACAATACGATGATCTTGTTCAAGAGCATACCACATTCAAGGTGAATATGGCAATAGCAAATCTCGGACCTTTTCCCTCAATTCTGAGGTTCTTTGGGTAGATGTATAAGGTTCTGTTATTCCAACTGGAATGTTTTTGGCTCCTGAATTATAAAACAATTGAAATGTTTATGATGTGTTTGCTATGACCAGTAAAATATCACTGGTCATAGTTTGTCCGGTTTTAGACTCGAGCTCTGTACGTTTTGGAGCAAAAGAAGGGTAGTGACGATGGAGAGCCAAGCAATAAAGATGAAATTGAGCAACTTGAACAGACCATTCAACAACAAACCAAGACTATCGAAAATCTTACGTGAGCATCGTTCATTACTGTCGAAGTTTTGCCTTCTCTAAGAACTGCGACCATTCTGTTCTTATCTAAGTATCCATATCATTGCAAAACTTCAGAACCACAACATAAAATCAGCATCATCCGAATCGAAGTAAAACCTGAAGATGTATAACATATAACATAACTTTATCCTGTTATCTGCTGAAAAATTCCATTTCAACTGAAAAAATATGAGGAAATTCGAAAAAATAATTATGTGATGAATATTGTGATGGGAATATTCTACGATTCCACAATATCAAATGTGATTTTCAGACATACTCAACGTGCGACTCATGAAGAATTGTGTTCAGTACGTGAGCATTCGCTTGCACTTTCAGTACAATTGCGCGAAGTGGAACGGCAATTGAAATCATCCAATGAAACACATAAATCGAAGTGAACTGAACTCATTTCCTTTATGATGATAATGAAATTGATATTTGTGATTATATTTATAATGATATTAGTTTTAATGGAAGTTATGATAAGAAATCTTTACAAATTATTGTAGTAGGTAGGGCAAAAATTCATTTTGTCAAATTATTCGGGTATATAATGAGTGGCTCATCTAGCAAAATCCACTTATGTGCCTGTAAATCAATTGCAAGTTTCAAAGCGATCAGATGAAATCGATCAAATTCTTTGCTTGATTACATTCTTTATCATTGATATGCTCGTTGGATTGAATGAGCTGATAAACTCAGCAATATTTCA